TTAGATAAATTATTTGCTTTGAGGGGAAGTCCTCGTATGAACGGAATGTCACATCAATTGTGAATATATTGAAACATTTATCATATATAGTGTATAAGTTATAGTTGGCATAGGATCTGATGGACAAAGTGTTCAAACAGATTCTGCTGGACTCTGGAACTCACTCAACGCCTTTAGGGGAGCGATGTGTCGCTTCTGTGAGCCTCTCCTCACTTTCGCGCGAACCTCTTCTGGCTTTTCCCGTCTCACGAGTGGCTTCTTTTCCGGTGCTTTCATTCTCCACACAACTATAGGTGACTGTAAAACACATCAAACACACACTTATTACCTCACAGTCACAATGAAAACAAGTCATTGCAAGTCCAATGAATAACACTCACAATCATCTGTTGTTGACCTCTGGGATATTTAGTGGACGCCACATACGATGACTTAACAGTGAGAACCACTGCGTTCATCAAATTCTTAGCGGCCTGTATGAGGGAAGTGGCGCTATCGAGCTGTTAGGGCAGACAAACAGCCAAACAAAAACATTAATAGAGATTCAAAGCATTTATAAATCTATACCACAATGGGGGCTTTGTTAGTCTAAAGGACTATACAAGACATGCAGACGGAAGTGAAACCTTCACTACAAGTTGACTACCGTTATATTCCATTAAGAGCGGTTTATGCTTTAGTTTAGTAAATTAGTGGTCGACTCCGGGCACTGGTCGGCTATCTGTCGCGCGAATTTGTCCAGTTTTGTGCCGAACTCTGATATCTTTTTGGCCGCATTGATCACATCCATTGTAGTCTTGAGCGGACCCTTTCCACGGGTGAAGTCAGTCATCTCCATCATAATCATACACATCTCTTTGGCGATCACTATAATGTCATTCCCGGTGTCGTCCCATTTGGCCACTTCGCGATCGAACTTATTCTTTTCAGTCCTGAATGTCTCGACCTGTTCTGCAATCTTCTCCTTTTCCTCTTCAGACACAAAACGATAGGCATCTCTCGTGTTACTGATTCCAGAGATATCCGGGTATTCATCGAAATCCGTGTGAATACTCGCTGTTTGTATTGAATACATGTTTAGAATATAATAATAAATTCAATTCATATGTATTTGTCTTACATTTGCTTCGAGTCTCATAAGTGTTGTCTTCGTATTCTATTTCGGTTTCGGAATCCAATTCCTCGACAGTTCTGTTCAGAAGTACAGCGCGTCTGATCTCACGAACGCCATCGTAAACAAGACGCGAGGCATCGATGAACTCATTTTCATCGACTTCGCCGCGCGGATCACTGGTCAGGGCGTCGACCGCCAGTTCCACTCTTTCTGCGAATTTGGGCATAACTTGATCTCTTAAGCACATCACAGCCTCCAATACCCGTTCCGTATAATTTCCCGGCTCATAGTTATCCATTTCAGCGGTCACTACATTACATACCCGAGCAGATCGACCGCGTATAGCACCGGCAGTTCTGTCCAGACTGTCCGCATCTCCTTCTTGTAGAGCTAACACACATTTATTAACATCTTCTAAGATATGGTTTTCAGAAACGGCTAAGAAGTCATCGATGGTAGTGATGTCGTCGACTGCCTCGGTGAGAATGCGCACCTGATTATCCCAGGCCTCCCGGAACGCCTCCATGTTCTCGAGGGCTACCTTAGAGCGCGGTCGAGCCGCCAGAATTCGGGCCGCGTTTATCACTTGAGGGCAGAGACTTCCGATCTGAGAGGCGGCGTATCGAACCATTTTGACGCCGTCCTCATTGGAGGACATACTGCACGCCAAGTTCGCCACTTCCACGAGTTTGTTGGCGTGTTCTGTGAACACCTGCGCGTATTCCTCCACTTCATTCACACTTCCCTTTTTGGCCGCTTCGATGAGCACCAGAAGCGGGACATTGGTCTCGAGGAAGGAGTCGGACACGTGATCGATCACCGCTTTCCTCAGCTGTCTTCTCAAGTCTTTAGTCTTGCGGTTCATGTGATCGATAGCTTTGCCCAAAGACTCGTCGGGCTCTCTGCGGCCGGTGTTTGCCATATACTCCGATAGCAAGTCCTGCAGAGCCTGACGAACGGCATTACATTCGGCGACAATCCTCTCCCGGCGCTCATCTCTAGTACACGAGGAGTCAGCCATAAGTGCGGCGCCGCTTATAATGCTTTCGAGTCGTTCTTCGAGTATAGGACGGGTAAGCATTTCATTGTAAAGCAATGGATCCATAATAATGCTGTCATCGAAGGCGTCGAGAGCCTCAGCCAGTTCTCCGGGTCCGTCGCCCGGACGACCCGTCAGACCGTTGTTCGCAGCGGTCTTTCCCTGCGCGACATCACTGATGGCATTAACGGCTTCGCAGACCTGTCTGAAGATGAAGTCTCTGTTCTCTTTGGCGGCCGACAGTTCCGGATGTCTGACGTAGACCTTGGATGCGGTCAATAGCATCATACAGTTCTTCTTAAGTATAGCGCGCGCGGCCGCCAAGTCGTCCCTCAGTCGCGGGTCCTTCAGCTCTGCCTGACGTTTGGCCGCTTGACTGATAAGTTCGGCCGTATTTTTGCCAAAACTTTTAAACGATTCCACTAATTCTGAATGACTGGAAGCGCTCTTAACTCTATCCAAATCATTCTCAACCACTTGTAAAGACTTGAGGAGTCGGTGGACGTCAACCATATCCGCCAGAATCAGAAGTCTGGTGACGGCGGACAACAGATTTCTGGCGGCTTTAACCATATTTCCCCTCTTCAGTGAACTGCACGGGTCTTCAGCGAACTCTCGCGAAGCCCTTCCCATCGTTTCGCCCGCTTTGCGCACCTCTTCCACGGCGGACAGCATTTCAGACTTTATGTCCGGATTCTCGAGAGCTATCTCTTCGCCCTTTAGGATGAAGTTCTCAGTGGCCTTCTCGACGGCCGCCACCAACACGTGAGCCCTCTTAGAGCGCCCCTTCTTCTTCTTGGACGGACCCTTCGTGTTGACCAGAGTTGTCACCTATTGGTCCAAACAATGTCTGAAAGACATCACAACCACAACCACATCCACACCAACACATACCTGCATCACCAGCGGCTCCAATGTCTTCTCCACCGAATGGGTCCTGATCTCCAGGTTCTTCGGATCCCATTTCAATGCCATTTGGCTACCAATCGAGTGGTTATTCCCGTTGTTGTTGTAAATGTTGTTATTGTTAACCAAAACGCCATTTGAAGCCATATTTGACACCAATTCGTGAAAATATATTTAAAAATAATTTCTCTCTTTTGCGGATCTATTCATCAAAATGTCATTTAAAGTGCAAAATGTGTGCTAATAGTGAATGTCAAGCACTAAGTGATCATTGAATCAAATGTTTATCAAATGAATACCAAAACAAATGAACGGAAATATGAAATCAAATATTTTGTTAAATATTTGCGACACGACTGACGACACCTTTTTGAACGCCAAATACGCCCAACAAAAATGATTTGATTTCGTATTTGGCGAGAATTACCTTATATTGCCATCAGTTGAACATCACTTCCAAAGTGAAGGCAGACGTACAGAACATATCAGGAAATCTGATTGTTTCGGGGGTAACACCATATCATTTATAAATGCTTTGAATCTCTATTAATGTTTTTGTCTGCCCTAACAGCTCGATAGCGCCACTTCCCTCATACAGGCGGCTAAGAATTTGATGAACGCAGTGGTTCTCACTGTTAAGTCATCGTATGTGGCGTCCACTAAATATCCTAGAGGACAACAACAGATGATTGTGAGTGTTATTCATTGGACTTGCAATGACTTGTTTTCATTGTGACTGATCGGTAATAAGTGTGTGTTTTATGTGTTTTAGTCACCTATAGTTGTGTGGAGAATGAAAGCACCGGAAAAGAAGCCACTCGTGAGACGGGAAAAGCCAGAAGAGGTTCGCGCGAAAGTGAGGAGAGGCTCGCAGAAGCGACACATCGCTCCCCTAAAGGCGTTGAGTGAGTTCCAGAGTCCAGCAGAATCTGTTTGAACACATTGTCCATCAGATCCTATGCCAACTATAACTTATACACTATATATGATAAATGTTTCAATATATTCACAATTGATGTGACATTCCGTTCATACGAGGACTTCCCCTCAAAGCAAATAATTTATCTAAAAATTTAAAAATCAAATATTATTTATAATAATTTATTTTGAATGCAAAGTAATAATCGAGTGTAAGAAACGATAATTTGAAAAGTGAGTGATTGCCAAATCTATTGATAAAATTTAATGGATAATTTGTAAATTGAGTTTAAAACTATAGCAATATTCTTACAATAATTATATCAAATATCAAAAATATGATTTTTATGTGGTATTTTTTAATCCATCAAATGATATATCATTTAAATGAAAGCAATTACCCGTTACTGCGAGAACACAATGAATACAAACTATTAGTTTTAGTTTATAGCCTTAGGTTTAGTACATTTACATATTTGTGACAATTTTAAGTGCCTCTTTTTAATCTTGTTTTAAATTTTTAAGTGATTTTCAGAATTTTATATTAATTCAAAACACATATATATTATTATATATTCGGTATAAATATTCTAAATATCAGTAAATCTGCGCTCAAATTGTATTTATATATCAATTTATTTTGACTTATAATGTAATAACAGACAGTATTAGAAAAATTAAAATTTTTATTATTTTTATTCAAATAATGTTATAATTATTTTGTAATGAATTGTATGAATATTTTGAGAAAACTATTTGAGACGCGAAGGACCGGCCGTTTCGTATTCCCTCTCGAATTCGATCTCAATCTTAGGCCGACTTTTAGTGGGCTTTTTGCGGCCTTTCTTCGCACTACTCATGTCTTCATCCGATTCATCGCTACTCGAAGACTCGTCTTCGGGTTTGTCATAGTCTTCCAGATCTGAGTCATCGCTCTCTTGGAAGTCATTTGCGGCCACGTATTCGACGGCCGCCTCTTCCGTGTCGCTCTCCATCTCCTGTTCCTCTTCGACCTGTCGGTCATCGGTGTCCACCTCTTCTTCGTTGAGAGCCTTTTCAAAGGCTGTTTGCGGGAAGTTATAGACGTCTCCATACGTTCCCCTCTTCAGTCTCTCCAATAACTCCTTTTCGATGGCGTTGTCGAGTTTGGCCGCCAGAAGAGCCTTCACTTCACGCCTGCGTTCCCTTCTCTCCACTTTCGACTGAATGGGAACCAACTTCTTCTGCCTCCTGAGCGCCAGTCGTCTCATTCGTATCAAATACTGAGTGATTTTGGTTAACCTCTGTTTACACCTGTGTTTCATGTGTTTCGGCCAATACAGCAAACTCTTGTCTATCTGTTCCAAAGCCTTGTCGTAGTTCTTCGACAGTTTGGTCTTCTCCCACAACTTCGATGGAAAGGCCGCCCTTTCGATGGTCTTCACGAACAGATAACAAACCCCTTTCTCCTCCCTAACCGTCGCGTAGTTACTGTTAGCCAACGGACAGGCCGTCCGACTGCACAGACCCGACACGTTGTACTCATTGCGACAGAAGTGCTGAGTCTTTGTCCTGAAATGTCAACACATTATCACATCAGTGGACACAACATAACACATGAATGGTAAACTCACTGCACTTTATGGGAACAGAAGCTTCCGTTCAGAACACTCCAAATCACCTGCAAATCAAAACAAGTCATTAGATGTCAAGCATTGGATCAATTGGACCAATTGGTGGTGACATACGTCGTCGTTTTGCATCCCTGTCCTCTTAAGCCGTCGCTAACCATATGATTGTTATGAACACATTTGAAAACACATTTCAAAACACATGTAACAGTAAAACGTGAAACCATTGAATGCTATTTAAAGAGATGAACACAAATAATGTTAAGATATCGAGGGGTGGGAGGGGTAGGGGTGGGGGCTATACAGCGGTCTGTAATGAATGTGTGTTTCATTCACTTCAATCATGTCAACGTATTTAATGGCTATTATTGAGACACTGTTTGACTGGATGTCCACATATGGCGCTAATGTTGTGTCAAATGAGTGTTTGTTTACTTGATATGACTTTTGACGGATAACCGCATCCAATGTGTGATCAATACTCAAGACATCGATTGCCAACCATTTATGTCTTTAATACAAATACTACTCAAATGGTGTGACATCTCATAGGTATGTCTTTCATTTACTAATGGTTTCGTTCATTGCAACCAAACATATGATTGCATTGAAAAGAGATAACTCTTATGGCAAATGTGTCTTAAATGGCATTCAATGAGTCCATGAAATGACAAATACTAGCATTTATTATCTAATTGTGTCGACAATTACTGGATGTATACATACTTTATAAGAGACTAATTGGATGTATGAATAGCTAATGATAAACACATTTCGTGAACCGATTGTAACTGTAATACACTTGTGATGATACACTTACAAGTGGTTCATCTGTCCATCTATTGTGATATAGTAATTGATCCAATCATCCAATCAAATGAATTTAGTAAACATGGATAACAGTAGTGAAAGTATAGGACCCATAATTAGGTAATAGGACCCAGGTCAACACAATTTGGTCGCAATCTGTATCTGTTTCTTATGGATCTTCTTCCAGAAGAGTGTCAGCAATTGCTATATTCGTAGCCAATATGAGACAATCTTGTAATATGTAGTGACTTATGAACCAAATGTGTTGCACAGAGTCTATCATGTCTTGGAGACCAACCATCCGGAGTCGAGCGGAGACAGCGGTGGGAATAATACTGCGAACGCCGGGACTCTTCATAATCGAGTACTGGTGGAGGAGTCAACCCAATCGACATGTCCTCCAAGCCATGGATTCGCAGACAAACCAGTTTTGGACCAATTTTATCACTCATATAGGTTTATACGATGTGATGTAATGGTTAACTCAATGTCCAACTAATATCATATATCCTGTCATACATAGCGCTCATCAATGGCTTTCTTCTTCTACTACTTCCCATACCATTGATTCGTTTGCTTTACACACACATAGTTTGCGGCGCTTTACTAATAACGGCTCACTTATTGTCCTACTATTTGGTTCATGTGATTGATGCCTATAATGGTGTTCCCATTATTGAATCACTAGCCCTATCACTGGTGCAGATGAATGCCATCAAACAGATTTCACTTTTGGTGGTTCACGTGGCCATCGCTGTCATTGTGTCCACTCTATTACAGGGACCACAAAAGCCATTACTTCCAGGTTTGTGTCAACCCATTATTACTCCTAATCTATTTGCTAATTAATTGGTACTATTTATCACTTGTAGTGTTTGCCTGTTACTCACTCCCAGTTTTTGCCCGAATTTTCGACTTTCCCGCCGAATCACTACAGGTTTGACACTATTTATAACCTATTGATTGATTGTTCACACATCCATTACTGCCCATTGTTCAGGTGATCCATAAGTTTAGTTCAGCAGTGGTTGTCATCAGTTTGATTCGATATGTATATCAATGGTTGCCTAAAGTGTTTAGTGAGCTGAAGGACGCCTGTTGTCAACTGCTGAGTGCAACGGAATCGCAAGGATTGGCATCACTTCTAGTCTGGTTATGCGGCAAACTCTTCGTTCCGACGCATTTCTTCCTGTTCTGGTCCATCGCTTTCATTAGGAAACTCTATGAGACCACTAATCACTCCAACGACTGGTATGTGGCGGTGTTGAGCGCTGCCAGTGCTGTCTGTGACAGTCCCGTGTCGTTGTTCTCGACAGCAGTGGCCGTCACTTATATGTCTTACTTCTTGTTGAGTGCAATGAAGTTCTACTTATGGGGTAATTGTCGCCAAACTCTTCCCAATGCCCCCAACATTCAACAGATGCATAACGGGTGGGAGGAGGGGATGACTACATTCCTGTTGGCCCTCTTGACGGGCATCACTGACATGAAACAACCGGCGCGTATGGCTGTCCTCACAATCATCTTATTTGTCGTTTTGTCGAGTCTTCTGCAGTCGATGTTAGAGATGGCGGAACCCGTGATCCTATCGTTGAGTGCATATCACAGCAAGAATGTCGTGCATCACCTAAAAGTGCTCGTCTTGTGTGCCTTCCTCTTCCTCTTCCCACTACACGTCGCATACGTTTTGTCCCAAATATTTCCCGTCGACTTCTGGTTAGCCGTCGTTCTCTCTACAAGTGTCTTGACATCAGCACAAGTGGCAGATCTAGTGATTGTTCACTGCATCCTATGGTACGACTCATTACGTGCCGAACCCCTCGAGTCGGTGGATGAGGCCGTCTATTATGTCCGCGCATTCACTAAAATAGTGGAGTTCTTTGTGGCCACGAGTGTAGTGGTGGTCGGCATATGGGAGGCAGTGATCGGACAGTGGAGTTGGACTAACGCTCTCATACTCTTAATTCATTGCTACTTCAATGTATGGCAGCGTTTAAATACGGGCGCAAAAAGTTATATCAGACGCAGAGAAGCCAACAAAAAGACCTCATCCCTGCCCTCCGCCACCAGCCGACAGTTGAAGGAACACAACGATGTCTGCGCCATATGTTTCACTGATATGAGTTCCCCAAACGCCTCTATCATCACTCAATGCAATCATTACTTCCATCGCATATGTCTTAAGAAATGGCTCTGTTTTCAGGACAGGTGTCCTCTTTGTGTTACTTGTATTACACGACGAAACCAAACGACACAACTTGTCATCAATTGATTTATTATCTCACAATTTAGTGGATCCATAAGATAATCACTTTAATGGATCCATAAGATAATCACTTTAATGACAATTAATTTTCTCTCAACTTTTGTTTTATATTTCACACCCAAAAGCCCTATCCTTTCAAATGAGACATATTTGAAATGTTTTTACATTGAATTTGTGATAAATAATGATATAATAATTGAATTAAAATCTATTTATTATTAGTAATGAAATAAAACTCATATCATCTCTCAATTCATGGTTTGAGTGCTGAAACCAATTCTTCCGATTCTTTCAATTCCTTAAGAATAAAACCCAATATTAGTTGTGATCATACATTGAATGCAATCGACAAACAATCCATACTTTGATAATATCGAGACCTCCGATGAGCTGTCCCTTGACGTACACCTGTGGATAAGTGGGCCAATTGGACAACACTTTCAACGATTGGCGCACCTCTTCGTCGGACAATATGTCGAAAGTGTCGTAATTGGCGTTCACTTCGTTCAGGATTGAGATCAAAGTACGACTGAATCCACAGCGCGGGGCGTCAGGCGTTCCCTTCATGAACACCATAACCGGCGACCTATTGATCAAAGTCTTCAGCCGTTCGTCAATGTTGTGGTCGGAAGCGTTGGAAGTGATGCCGACATTTGATCCCAACTTGAAGGCCAGTTGTTTGACTTGTTGTGTGAGTTGTGGTACGTCTGCGCCTTCTATTCGAGACAATTGTTTGGACTTTGAAAACAATATACACGTGGGAACTGATGTGACATTCATCTGCTGCGACAACTCGGGAATGTCTTCGGCCGACACCTAATCGCCAATCAAAGAGTCGATGCATTAATTGATTGCAATTTGCAAACACCAGTCAAAGCAATACTTTGGCGAATATAACGCTCGAGTAGTCCTTGTTTTGCGACAATTCGCTGAAGACATCATTGATCTGAAGACACTGTTGCGCCCATTCGGCCATAAAGTGGGTCACAATCAGAGTGTCTCTGATTTGGTGACAAATAAATACAAAGACTTAAATGAGTGGACAAACAATGGGATCAATGAATACCTGAGTAACAGTTTATTAAACTGTTGGATGTCTTTGATCTCAATGACAGTATTGGTTGACATTTGGAGACAATAATGGATTCAACGGTTATTGAAGTGATGGGTCACTCAATACAGTAAGTGTCGGATACTGTGGTCACAGAGTGTTTGTACACCAAATTCAGTGCAAATTGATTGCAAACGGCATTTCAAAACTCATTGATTGCCACAAATAATGTCATGAAAGGGGCGAACAGTGAAAGTGAAGGGTTTCTGTGTTTTCTATTGTATTTCAATGGTTTGACTGCAAATATATTGCAAACGTATGGTATGAATGGTATGAATGTTGTGTTTAATGTGAAGGCTTTTAATATTAAGACTTGTAATACACAAACACTATGACTAATATATCATAGATTTGGGATCCCTTTATACAAAGTATACATTTGACAGTAAAGTACTTACAAACCCCTAACTCATGAAAGTGTGGTAATTGAATACATGTGCAGTATGTGATTGCAAGCATTGTTTTGGTGGACTTACACCACAAGACCTCAGAGGAACTGATGGTATGTCTGATCTCTTGAGAGATAAGAGAAACAATTGATGTGTGAATCGGTGGACATAAACAATGCGTTATTACGAGAGTTCGCAGACATTTCATTACAATTGGGAACAAGTAGTGAAAGCCTTTTGGTGTCGATATCCCAACCCTTTTAGGTAACGATCATTGTTTGCAAATGTCTTAATGTCTTAACGTCTGAATGGTGTGAATATGTGTTGCAAACAGTTCTCATGTGTTGAGCGAAGATGTGGTGCACCGAAGAGTGGACTCAAGCGGCAAACTATTGACCAAACGGTTGATCAGTAAAACCAATTCCGCCCCCAAATGGACCGAACGATTCCTGACGTCGAAGAATGTTTTGGTGGTCGAGGAGTCGGTTCTGGACCCCAATGGCCACACTCTGACCACTTATACACGCAATATAGGACTCAAACACCTGATGACCATCGAGGAGAAGGTGACCTATCGGTCCAGTGATGACGGCAAGGGCTGGACAGTGGCTGACCGCCAGGCGTGGATCGACTCGTCGGTGTTCGGTCTGTCTTCGGCGGTCCAGAGGTTTGGTTTGGAGAGGTTCAAGAAGAATGTGTCCAAAGCGTGTCAGGGATTCAACTTTGTGTTGACCGCCTTATACGACAACTTGAACCCAGAAGTGGTCACTACTTCTGAGAATCACATTTCGATTAATCCATTGCTCAGAGAGAAACTCAAAGAGAAGGCTTTGAGGGCCACGGAGTTCGCGGCCGCCGCCAAGTCTAAGGCCGTACCCATCGTTGTGGCCGCCCATAGACACGACTCCTCCTAAGCAAACCAATCCATTGTTAGCTTTTTATATATCTATTCTAATGATTATTAAACAATTTACAAACTTTTGTAATTATCGTAATATTTTAGTCAACAATTTGTCAATAATAAAGAAAATATGTTTTATTTTAACGTCTACTTCTAATTCTATACAATATTTTCAATCATTTAATAACATTTCGATTGCAATGAGAAAATTAGTACTCAATGCTTATTGTACTGTAAAGTATACATTATATAAACTGCTGTATTGTGTGATTAGATCATGATTTGCAGATTTCTTGAGCTCTAAAAGTTTACTCAATTATTGCGTTCAAAATATTCATTGGCTTTCTTGGGGTTAATAGTCGGCGCTTCCGGTTTCCAATTGGCCGGACATACTGTCCATCCAAATAGAAAATGCATTAATCAAGTGAACATAATTAGGGTGATTATGAGCCATACCTTCCCCGTGTTTCTCATAGAATTGAAAGGCATTAATCAATCTGAGCGTCTCGTCCACAGAACGGCCAACCTTTGCATAAATGAGATATAATTAATGTGTAGTTTGTGTGCAATTTGACTGCATTTCTAATATAAATTTATTTCTAAAGTATATATACCGGTAAGTCATTGATTGTTATTTGTCGGACAATACCCTTGGGATCAATGATGAATAGTCCGCGCAAAGCAATACCAGAATCCTCGAGCAAAACACCATAATCTTTCGATATTTGCTTATTAATATCCGAGAGCACCGGTATGTTAATGCCTCCAATGCCTCCTTTCTGTTAATCACCGAAAGACTCAAAGATAAGACGCGTTATGAGAATGATATAAATGTATGCATACCTTGCGGGGTGTGTTAATCCAGGCCAAGTGCGAGAAGTGCGAGTCCACTGAAACGGCCACCACTTCTGTGTTGAGTGCTTTGAACTCTTGGATGCGATCACTGAATGCAATGATTTCTGTCGGACACACAAAAGTGCTGTCCATTCAACCATTCAATGCACACAAACACACATTATGTCAAACATTCAGTCAATACAGTCTATTAATACAGGAATGCTATGAAAGACTCACAAATCCAAGGGATAGAAAAATAGGACCAAATATTTGCCACTGAAGTCAGACAATTGGATGGATTTGAAGTCTTGAGAGACAACGGCGGTCCCCTTGAAGGCAGGCGCCGGTCGACTCACAAACGCCGCCATCGATGCTCTCGACGAGTGAACACATCTATAGCCCAATCCATTGACTCGTTTGGTGGCCAACACTTTGAGGGACTAAATGGACAAATGATATTGAGATACGGATTAAATATGGGATCAATTCAGTGATTACTTGTTTGATAAATGTATTCATTTTGAGTGCAATCAAAGCGACAGTAATTGTCAATAAGAGTGAGTATTATGACTGCAATGAACACACAGTAGTCTACGAGTGCTCAGTGTCTCAGTCAGTGTCTCACATGTCTAACACATGACTCACACAAAGCACTCATTCACTGAACTGTTGTTTACTTCAATTGTCTTCACTGCTGTCACCGATTGTCTCATCAATGATGAGTCAAATAAATCACTTTCCGGGAAATACAAGTCTTCTCGAAGAACTGGACAGTAATTATGATTGAATTGAATGACCAGTCA